TACAATCTAATTCCCAACACGCCCCATAAATAATTAAGAAAAATAAAAAAATTACTGCTGGATTTGAACCGGCAACCTCTAACTTGACAGTGCAATGCTTAAAAGCTGGAATTCATAAAAATAATATAGATATAAAATACTACAATTAATAACAATTTTAATCTAGTTAAAAGGACGATCGTTAAATTGAAAACTTAAAAGAACCTGGAAATCTTAGGTTAAATCTATAACAGATTTAAGAAAAAACAAGTAAGAGGTTTGTTTTAGTCGGGAGCTCCCGACTAGGGAATACCCTGAACCCTTTTCTTCCAACAGAGGATAGGTATAAAATGAAAGATACTTGATATATATATATACTATTCTAGAAGCTACATGTAAAGTTTGGTGACTCTAGCTCATATTATTTGCCGGAGTTGCTCAAAAAACAGGATTTCGATATCGATTTTTATCGATTACTTGGAAACGGGGCAAGTTATCGAATATCGGAAACAAACTCGATCTGCGCATGGACTAGGAGGACCTACACCCAAAATTTCAAATCTCTAGCTCTTATAGGTTTTGGGATCCTTGCATTCGTACATACGGACGGACAAACGGACGGACGGACGGACAGACAGACGGACATGGCGAAATCGACTCGGTAATTGATGCTGATCAAGAATATATATACTTTATGGGGTCGGAGATGCTTCCTTCTGCCTGTTACATACAAATATTACAAATACATTATACACTTTTTACCCATTTTTAATGGGTTCAGGGTATATTTATGATTATAAAAAAAGAGAATTATAAAATATTCAAATTAATAACAATAAATTATTAATCCCATAAAAAATACGAACGTTAAATTTAAATAATTAACAATTTCTTTAAGCTCAAGAAAACCCAGAGAGATAATACAATTCCCAGTTGCGAATAGAAGAGCGCATCATTAAATTTGATAATGTCCCAGTTGTTGAGTGCTTTTTATGGTCGGGTCCACTTGATTATATGCGGCACATAATTGTGCTGGGAGTGGAGGAGGAGGAACTGGAAGCTGGCTGCTGTGGCCCCAAAAGTGCTGCTATCAAGTGACACACATTTACATAATTATTAGAAACAGTTAAATGTCCACAAATTGTAATCGTAGCACTTGGTCACTGGCCAGGCACACGGGGGAGTCATTATATTGGGCAGTCGGGGGTCACATTATTCAAAGTATGCGGCGTCAATGTCTCGTCCTTCTTGTTGTTGTTGCTGCCCACGCAATCTAAGGACAAAAATATCTTGGCGTAATTTGCGAGCGAAGGCGAAAGGACTTTGGCCTGCAGCCTGTAGCCTGTTGATGTGCGTGCCTCAGACTATGTATTTAAAAATGTTCTATATTCACAACAGCAACAACCACAACTCACAGAGAAATAAAATAAAATGTAATTTTTATTATGCTCAGTGGTTTTTATTGCCCGCTTTATCGTTCTACAAGTTCTGCGCCTTGTCTTGTCTTGTCTGATATTTGTCTATGGCATGTCCTTGTGTGTGTTTCGGCCATGCCACACACACACACACACACTCGCACACACAGATAGACAAATAGACTTGGCATATTGCGATATTTTCGTTTTTTATGGCTTTTTTATTGACTTGATTATTATGTTGCCTCTTGTTTTCGACCAAAAGCAAGCCAAAAGAACAACAACAACAACAAAAAGAAATGCAGAAGTTTTCTTAGGCTTCAGCCCAGGGAAATTAAAAAATAATTTAACGCCCAGCTCGAGGGCTGCTGCATAAATTTACCAAGATCTGACTGGCTGCTTGGCTGGCTGGCACAGGGTGTGTCTGATTGCCTTACGGCTTACGGCCACATAAATAAGGCCCAATTCGAGCAGCAGTTTCTAATGACGCCCTTTGCGAATTTATGTACGAATGTGTTATGACAGTGCCGGACTCATATTTCACTGGATAGCAAATCACAAAACGTTTGCCAAGTGCTGGCTGCGTCTCAATAAATTTGAAGTTTTTGCCCAAAACATTTAATTGAAAAATGTTCAACACGCCCCGTTGCCAGAAAACAGGCGTTCGCAATTTATGAACTCCAGTGTGAAATGTGAGAAATTCTCGTTAAATTTGCCAACAGTGAAAACTAATAAAACTCTGTACGAGTATATTGTTTCACCAAATGCCAGCAATTGGCATCAAATATCCACTAAAATGACATGTTTTCGGACATTCCAAAAATCAAATGCCCAGCAGCTAATGTTTCACGGTGCGTATACGTAATATGAAAGCAATTGAATATTGTGAGAGCTTGGATTGGAGCTAAATTTCTAAGATTTTGTTAACTGACTTTTATTAGAGGTTTAAATGTAACTATTGCATTAAGGTAAATTCTTTTTTAAATTTACAATTGTATATGGACAGAGGGAGAGGGATAAAAAGAGAGGGACAAAGAGAGAGAGAGAGAAAATTAGACAAAATTAGATTGTGAATATAAGCAGAGTTCAGATTTATTAAAATGCCAACACAACTTGTTTATATAATTCTTATAATCAAAGCATGAAAACCAGTAAGTCTCACTTGAAGGCTAACTTGAATCCATGAGAATCGCATAGAAGGGCAATGCTTAACTATTGTGCATTTGCTGCGCAGTGGGAAAAAACTTGATCATATGTTAATATACATTCATTGACACAGGCAACGAGCCAAATTTGTTTTAAAACTATTTCAAAATCATATTAAATGAAATTTTCACAGTACAGCTATGCCGTTGGACTAATTTTATGCGTCTTTGTATCTCATTTTTGCCACGAATTTTAAAAAGCCAATCTCTTCATTTGGCTTCCTTTAGAATGGCATTTTATAAGCCCGAATATTGCCTATGGCTCTGTGCCAAAATGACAAAAATTAAAAGCTACAACGTCAAGGGGCAAAAAAGAAAAACACACACAAGAAAAAAAAAACCAAACAAGCCACAAAAATGTAAGGAAAGCAGAACACGAGGGCTGAACGAGAAACCAAGTCTCATAATTAAAAATTAAGCCATTCGCCTATTAGTTTTAACCCTCATTAACTTTAGATAAACTAATCTCCAAAGTAAACCACTCGCATTCATGGCCTTTTGTGTTCGCGCGACCCTGCCCGAGGGTGGACTACCCTAACACAACCACTACCCGCCCTCATTGTACCCGCCCCTACGGTTTTCAGGCCGCGCCTACAGTGCGTGAAAAGCTCATCAAATGGGCGCGCTCTTAGGATAATCGCCATGAATTTTCTTTTTTCTTCAGTTGCTGCACAAAATGATGTAGAAACAGGACGAACCTAACAGTGTGCAAGGCAAGCCAAGAAAAAAAACGAAGACGAAGATGAAGCTGAAGCTGAACAAGAAGCAGCACAAAAAGCGGTATGAACCAGAGAAAAGAAAAATAATTAAAAACGCAACCTTGATAAAAATGAAATGTTTACAAAGACACACAGGCGAATAAAATAAAGAACTGTGACAAGAAAAAAAAGTCCCGTTGAAAGGCTAAAAAAGCACAAAAAAAAATAAAAAAGCGACGAAAAAAAACAGAAACATTTCCACAGCTCAAGCAGCGCAGCACAAAACGAAAACAAAAAGCGGATACACGCAGCGGATGCAAAGTTTACTCAAGCAAGCCAAGGAAATGGGGGGGAGGGGGGAAGGAGTGCGATGCCTTCGCCCCACCCCGACCCACCCGGCCGAAGGAAACTGAATCGCAGAATGCAAAGTCAGGCGAAAGCAGAAAAACATTAACTGAGAATTTTCGTCTGCGCCAAGCGCCATACAAAACGCCAAGCCATATGCTGCCCAAATAACATGTATAAAACTAAAAGGATTTTATGAACTAAGCTAAACTAAAACTCAACTTGGAGCTGGAATCAAAAACTTATGCAGTCTACTTAAGACATAAAGACTATAGACTTTATAGACATAAAAAGCTTATGAATTTTCTATCCTAATTAATCTAGAGAACAAACCATGTTCAAATAGATGCAATGTTTGTCAAGAGGCAAACAATATGGCAAAAAAGGATTTTATGAACTCCACTAAACTCAACTTGGAGCTGGAATCAAAAACTTATTGGAGTATTCTTAAGTGCTACATAGACAAAATTGCCTAAGAAAAATTCTACAGAACTTATCAATTGTCTAACCTAATTAATCTAGAGGACAAACTATGTTCAAATAGATGCAATTTTTGTCAAGAGGCAAATAATATTTTGCCAGGAATGGTAAATATAAAGTGATTAGAATTCGAAGCCTAGAGCTAGAACATTTCAAAAGAATTTTTTGAACTACGCTTAGCCCAACTTGGAGCTCGAATCAAAAACTTATTGGAGTATACTTAAGTGCTATATAGACATAATTGCTCAAGAAAAATTCTACAAAACTTATAAATAGAGTGTTGATATAGTCATTGGAATTCCAAGTCTAGGTAGAGACTTGAACTTGGAAAATACACATATCAAATATTTTGCCATTTTGAAAAATGATTAATATATGAATTAAATATCAATCTGGAGTTCAAGATGGCTTATAACAAAGTTATGTGAGTTAGAAGTCTAGGAAAAAATAATTTTTATGTAGTCAAAATACTATTTTTTAACTAAAACTAATATTTCATGCATTTCTTTTACATTTTAAGATACATAATTGTCGAAATTTAAAATTTATATGGACATTTATCTTGAAAATCGATTGAGTTTTGACAAAGCTATTGGAAATCCAAGTTTGGGTAGAGCTTTTAGAAGGGACTTGGGAAATACAAATAAAAAATCGTAATTTTAGCGTAAATTAAACTTTTAAGTATGAATAATAGTTAAATAAAGTATTAATCCAGAGATTAAAAAACAATAAAAATGCTAACCATCATTAATGTGGCTTTTAACAAAGTATAAAAAAGGGCTCAAAATTAATATTTAATAAATTTCTTTAACATTTTAAGACAAGTTTTCAAAGCAGTTCCAGCTAAAAGAATTACATTTAATTGTCAGAATAAGTATTCCCTTTTAAAAGACGATTTTATTGCCTATTTAGAAACTTACACAGTTTGTTTAAATAGTATAGTTTGTGTATACGTATATCAATTAGAGCTACTTAAAGTTTAAACATTGGCTCTGCACAATCACGTTATAAACAAAACTAGAATTACAAAGCGCTAAAATTGAGCAAACTACGCGAAGCACTTGACTTTACACCTAAATCGAAATATATGTTTAAGGGAATAGAAGACGCGAGCAAACAATTTACAATTGAACAAAGCTGCCCGATTGGCCAGTTATAAGAATAATAATGATAATAATATTACGAGTATCCTGAGTGTAATAAAAGAATTTCCTTTGCAAGGCAGAGGAAATGTTTGCGATCTTAGACAAAAAATCGATACACTCAAATTACACAGATCACACAAATTACAAATATTACAACAATTACATGTACTAAATATCGCTATACAATGCTGATTAAGCTAATTGCTCTTTAAAGCTAATTAATAAACATACACAATGGCCAATTGTCATGGATAGAGTGCTTTCGCATTTGGCTATAAACTGGACCTCAGCTAATTGGGAGCTGGTCGTTGATTCTGCTGCTGCTGCTGCTTGGCATGGCCAGTCTCGGATTTATTCTCGCGCACCAACAGCAGCAGCTGCAGCATCATCAAAGCCTCCACCTTGTCCAGGGGATCCATAAAGCCGCGCTGCAGCCACTTGGGTATGGTGGTGCGTGCATGACTGAAGCCCAGCTTATTGAGTATATAATCGACGCCATATGGCTCAATCGATTTGCCGGCCCAGGACAGCAGCCGCACCGTCGGCTCCAGATGCCAAGTCTGGCAGTCAAAATGCCGCCAATCGCGCACAAAGGACTCGATATCAAAGCTGGGCAGCTGCTCCACGCCGGGCTTGGTCTGCCCGGCCGCATCTTTGCCTTCGCTGGCAGCCGAATTCGTTGTCGTTGTCGCCGTCGTGCCTGTCGTTGTTGTTGTTGTCGTGCTGTTTGCTGTTGTGGCAGCATTTGCCGCCGTGTTCGCAGCTGTCGCTAGATTCGTATGACTGCCCTGCAGTGGGTCCAGGCTGCTCTTGCTGCCGCCCAGCTGCTGGCTTTGTACAGTCAAATTCGTATTGGAAGCGGTTTTCTTCTCCTTGAGTATCTCGTCCGTCAGATAGGGCTTGAGGTTGGCCTTCTGCGACAGATTTGGCGAGGCTGCGCGCGCCGACTGAGCGCCGAGCTGCAAAATAGAAAAAGGCATCAAATTATGGAACTGGTTCCAGGCAGAAGGCGTCTTCTCCTGATACGCACCACCTTCTCCTTTTCGGTGACATAGGACGTTATCAGATCGTGTAGAAAGAAGAACGCATCCGCATCGACCGTGACAAATATGTGATCATCGAACTCCGTTATGAAGCTGCACAAAACTTCCGGCTTCGATTCTAGAAAAAAACCATAAAAGGTTTAAAGTACACTCTTGTATTTGAATTGATATGGTTTACCGCTTGGCTCGGGCGTGCTTGCGCCCTGCTTGTGCTCGGTCTTGAAGTGCAGCTGGAGGCTGGGAAGCGCGAAGATGACCTCGCGATTGTGATTGTGCTCCTGCGATTTGGCCGAGCTGCTGCTGCCCGTGGCGCGCGTGCGCTCAATCGAATTGGAGGCTATCTCACGCTCGCACTCCAGCATGGGAAAGCGATCCACAGCTGTTGGGGAAAAACTCGGTATAAGCAAAAGGAAGCCAGATTAAATTCCCTGCCAGACTCACCGTCGATTTCGCTGTTGGCGAACGCGTAGTGGAACCATTCGTTGAGGGTCTTGAACTGCGGCGGAAAGATGATGTTGCGCGTGATGCGGCTGACAATGGCCATCGAGTGATTCTGCTGCTGCTGCACCTCCGTCGTCTGGCCCAGGCACGAGGTGAGCGTCTGTGTGACGAGCACCTCGCTGCTGTCCTCGATCTGACGCGCCTCGGTGGCAAAATTAATCGACGGCGACTTCAGGCTAAACAACGCCCAAGCCTTCGACTTGAAGTTGATGCCATGGAAGCAGGCCAGCGAAATGTTCTGGCCGCGCAGCTCCACGGTGCCGCCCAGCACATTGCCATGTCGCGGCAGGCGCGTCACCAGCGACGGCACCACCAGCCCAATCGCCTGCGCCAGCGGCTTCTGCCAGTGCCGATGATGCCGCGCATCCGTGTTGTCCACGCCGCAGTAGTTGACGGCGGCGGCGGCGGCGGCGGCTTGTGGCAGCTCGCCGTTGGGCTTCTTCTTGAGCTGCTGGCGACGCTTGATGCTCGCCGTGCGATCCTGCAGACGCGGCTCGAGGCTGGAGAAGACGCGCTTCGAAGACTTGAATTGCTGCGTGAAGAACTCCTCCAGCTTATAGTACATTTTCATGAGATCCGCCGTCGTCGATTTGGATATCATGATCTGCAGCTGATCCCAGCTGAGATCGCCATGTATAAAGATGAGCGCACGCGGTTGATCCTTGCCGCAGGCAGCTGCCTGCGTGGCCGTGCGCCACTCGTCCTTCATGGCCGCCGCAAAGGTGCTGATGCGCGTCATCAGCACCGAGGTGCCCATATAGTCCAGGCGCAGCTCCAGCGCCATGAAACTGAGGCCCAGCGTATGATACGGCTCCATGCCGGCCTCCTCCTTGATGTGAAAGCGTTTGTTGATTTTGTTCACCTCAAAGCTGCCGCCCACAATGCCGCCCTTGGCATCCAGAGCCGAGCCGCCCAAATAGATGCCCGCGTACATGTTCTTGTAGCCCGTGCTGCCAATCGACAGACGTCCGTCCGAACGGAAGTCCTTGGTCAGCCAGACCACATTGCCGCACACATTGCCAATGTTCATCTGGACATTGAGCTTGGTGAAGTTCACAGCGAAGATCACCAAAGTGTCCCAGGCGGTAATCTGATTCTTTTCCGAGGGCGGCGTCCCAGAGGATTCGGCGCTTGAGGATTTGCCCAAGGACTTGAGCTTGCGCACCGCGCCAAAGTGGCCCAGTTGCTGGACAGGCTGCTGTTGTGTTGTCTGCTGCCCCTCAAAGTCCAACCGCAGCTTCTCCTTGGAGCGACCCTCGCTCGGCGTGGGCGTGGCCGGCGCACAGCCCGTGGGCGTCTCCCCGCCCGCCTGCTGCTGCTGCTGCTGCTGGACGCTGAGATCGCCCAGGAAGAGACGTCGGACAATTCGACGCCTGTACCAGGCTTTCGGGAAGGCCAGAATCTCGGTGAGGCGACGCATATCGTACTTGAAGCTGGCGCTGCCAATGTCCACAATTGTGGAGAAGCGTATGACGGCGCGGGATTGATCCAAGGCGCGCTTCGAGCTGGGCAGCGGCTCGATATAGACCTTGCGGCAGCGCGTGATATGAAACTTGACAAACTCCACATTGATGCTGAGCGAATCCTTGCGCTCGGTGTCGCTCAGCGGCGAGAACTGCGTCTCCTTGGAGGTCTTCTTGCCGCCATACGGATGAAAGATGTACACATTGAAGTCGGCCAGGCAGCCCGTCACGCTCAGCCCGCCCGTCGGCAGCTGCGGCTCCGCCGGCGGCTGTTGTTGCTGCTGCTGCTGCTCCTCGTCACCGCTGCGCTTGGAGCTAAATACAATGTCCAGGCTGGGCAGCTGCAGCATGCACTCGACCCGGGACACGGGCAAACAGCTGAAGCGAAACGTCGACGGCTGCATATGGAAGTAGACGATGACATCGACGGGAAACGAGGCGTAGGTCGCATAATTCGCTGGCAATATGTCCAGATTGACGGGGGCTGTGTGCGTGGGCGTGGCCGGCACACTGTTCGTCTGCCGCGCGGGAATCGGCTCCAGCGTCTGCTCGAGAAACTCGAGAATGTGAGGCGATATGATTGTCTCCTCGGGTATGCTCTGCAGCGTCATCCAGGCGCTCAGCGTCGCCCGCTTGTTGCCCACAACGCGACGGATGTGAGTTCCCGCCGGAGTTGCCGTCGCCGCCGGAGTCGTCCCCGGCAGCTCTGCGGGATCGGCCAGCGTGCGTGACTGATAGTGCAGCTTGACATCGAGGCCGGGTATGTGAAAGATGGTGAGATCCGCGAGCAGAGCATTGTTGTGGGCGCTGGCATTAAAGCGCAGCTTGCTCTTGTCGCGCTGCCGGCGCGACGGCGTCGGACTGCCCCAGTCGTTGCCGATGCTGCGCTCGCGCTTGTGCGTCTTCACGCTGGCTCCGCCGGCGGCGGCGGCGGGAGCTCCAGCTGCGCCATAGGCGGCGCGATCCTCGCCGCTGTGGTTGTCCTTCGTGTGCAGCACACATTTGCCGGAGTTCACAAGCACCTTGACGTCCAGCTCGAAGTCAATGTTCGGCTCCGGCTGCTGTTTGAGGGCGTGAGCATGGGCATGCTTGCGCCGCATCTCCACGGATATGCCATCCACGTCTATTTCGCTGGGCGTGGTGCAGTCGCCCTGGAACCCGACGCTGCGCCAGTCGAGCTCATTGTCCGCCGTCTCCGTGTCGGTGTCCGCATTCGGCAGCGATGTCTGCCGCATCGCATCCGTAAAGGTAACCCGGCCCACGCCCGTTTTCAGCGAAGCGCTGCGCGAATGACACGAGGCGGGCGTGCTCTGCAAACTGGAGATTTCGTCGTTGGAGGCGATCGTGTCCAGGCGTCTGCCCGCATAGCCGCCATTGTCCAGCGGCAGCTCCCGGGCGGCCAGGCTAACGCCCGGCATTCCGCCGACAACAACGCCGCCGACGCAGCCGACGCCGCCGCTGCCAATGTACGACTGGGAGCGATTGTAGTTCTTGAGGGATCGGCGCAGCGAGGGACGCTTCCACTTTTGGATCATGTCGCGGCGGAAGTACTTGTAGCAAATGGCCTGCAGCTCCTGCAGGCGGCGCTCCTCGTGCGCGACGGTGTTGTGCGAGGCGCCGAGCGTGCGCAAATCGTTGATGATCTTCAGCTGCTCGGCCATTTCCTTTTCCATCATGAACGAGCGCTTCTTCGAATCGATTGTCGGATCGAACACAAAGGCGGGCAGATTGTCGAATTCGCCGCGTCGCCGCACATACGTGTCCCGGCTGCTCTGGTCGCCCTCGTCGCTGTCGGGCGACTCCATTTGGGTGTCGTCCTCCTCGAAGCCCGTCAGCATGGTGAGCGTGTGGCCCAGCGAGGACAGCTGCTTGCCAATGTTCACATCCAAATGGATATCGACGCCCTCCATTTGCCATTTCACATTCAGCAGCCACTTGGCATTCTCGCCCTTCTTGGCGGCCGTGGTGCGCGAACAGACCTCAAAGGTGCCCTCGGAGACGACGCACACATTCATGATGGGCTCCACGCAGCTGGGCTTCCAATCGTCCAGATTCGTCTCAAAGTCATCGGCAAAGCGCAGGCACAAGCCCTGGAATTTGCCCTTGGACACCAGCGAGCCCGAGTTGCACGCTGAGATGATCGTGTTCTCCAGCGTGATGACCACCGCGCCTTTGGCATCAAAGTCCTGATACGAACGGCTGCCGTACGACTGTGGAGGATATGCGGGATTATACATGTGTAGTTACTAGCTGGCATTTTCCATATGGTATAGTTTTTCACGCGTCCTTGGTTAATTTAAATCTAACCCGTATCCTAAATATAATATATTGCCCGGCCTTGGCCGTGGAAGGTTCTTTGCTAACAATTTTAGATATTGCGGTTTCACTAAATACACGGCCGTGGGAGATTGAAATCTATCCGTCCTGATTTCCACTTCTATTAAAAAATATGTTTTAGACGCATCGAATAGAGAACCAAATGTTGGAATCAGAGGTTTCCGCCCATGTTAGTATTGAGGTCGAATAAAAATTGTGAGTTTATTAAACATTTGACCCGCATTTTCCATCCAATTACGGTGAACTTAGCAAAGGCGTGTCAAATAAGCTCTGATAAAGATCTTTGAAAATGAGTTTGAAACCGATAATAAACCAAAAAGATAAGTTTTTCCACCAATTTTCCACTGTTGCAGGTGGAATTGACCAAATGGTTAAAACACGTATTCATTAAGTTCTTTTTTTAGAGCTTTGAAAATAAGTTTGAAGCAAATCGAACAAAACGTAAAACTTAGCACAACAAATCTTGGAAATGGATTCTGCGAAAAGCGTGAAACACGTCTCAAATGATTTGTCGTATAGGTCTTTGTATATAAATTAGAACACGTAATGTCACCCACCAAATCTTTGACCCCCATTTCCACCAAGGAGGAATGCATTCTTCGGGCTGTGCATTGATCCCCAATCATTCAGGCGGGACAAAAAGTTTTATATATTGAGATACACTATAAATAAGATTCTATATATACTTATACTATATATAAATATTTGAAACAGAGCTTGAAATCTATTTTACTCTCGTGGTTTAGAGCTCGAAGCCGCTCTACTTGGTAAGCAGAAAAGTTTTATACAAACTTTTCCCAAGATTTCCCCTAACTTTCTTAGGCTTTTTCCAATGCCAGATTTAACGCAAACCTCAATCACATAATCTAGCTGAATCTAAAGCTTTCTATATCTCCAAATAGTCAGTCGGAGATTCAGGACTTACAACTTTATATATAAGATAATACTCAATCGGTTTTTGACTCACCACCGTGTTGACCTGCTTGAGGGGCAAACAGATGCCCATATCCTCGACGGTTAGTTGCAGGAACAATGTGGATAGATTCGTGCTGGCGATCTGGCCAAAGGCGACGCGATCGAATACCTGTTGGGTGTCCCTGTGGGGCGTGTGGTCGTAGCAGAGATTGGCGCGCTTTTCGGCCCAATACTCGTAGGCGTTCTTGTAGTTCAGCCAGACCAATATGGCCTTGTCCACGGCTATCGGCTGGACGTAGACCAGGGGACGCTTGAGCGTCAGCAATATGAGCTCCTTGTCTTCGTTGGGCAGCTCATCCTGGAAGGCGTTACGCAGTCCGATGGTCGTATGGAAAAAGGCATATTGCTGAAATTCTGGCTCCGCCTCGTCAAAGATCACGTTCCTTATGATCTGGCCCAGCGACAGATTAAAATCGATGTGCGCCTTAAAGAACAGCTTGCGATTGCTCAAATCACCCAAATTCTTGACACGATTCGACAGCTGCAGCTCCAACGTGCCCGTCTCGAAGCGCACCGCCGACGAGCACGGCGTCGTGGCCGTCAATTGGATGCGCTTCATCGATATGTTGATGGAGAAGAGTATGCGCTTCAGCGTGGACTCCTGCACGCTGGCATTGTCCCCACTCTCCTCTGTCCAGAGGGGCACCGGCTTCTCGCCGCCATAGACCTTTTGCAGCACCTCGTTGATCTCGCGCATAAACACCTTCTGCACAAAGACCAAATGGTTCAGCAGATCCGTGGTCAGACAGCGCTCGAATTCGCCAATCTCGGCGCTGGCATTCACATAGCCGCCCTGCCGCAACACAATACCCTCAACGCTCTCCGTGTGCTCCTGTCGATTGTCCGGAATATATTCCGCCAGCACATGCACCGGCGGCAGGCCAATGCACGCCTCCGACGGCAGGTTCATCTCATTCTAAAAGATTAACCCGGTTTAGTTTGGCTTTAAATGACTTGGCTTATGACTCTCACCTGTATCTTGGTATTGAAGCTGAGCGTGTGCGTGGGCAAGTCGATGACAAACTTGGCGCGCTGGCCCGTAACGCCCATGGAGCTGACATGGTTCATGCGGTATTGGGCCTGCAGCGAAGGCAGCAGCGCCGCATTAATGGACAGGCTCTGCAGCAGCACGTTGAACTGCATGACCAGCGGCTGCAGAAGGCCATTCTGATGCGCCGCCGCCGCCGCCGGCTTGGACTGCAGCAGGCGTGCGGAGCGCCGTGCCGCAAACTGTGGCTGCGGCTGTGCTGCGCCGCCGGAGACGGTCCGTTCCCGCATTTCGCTGTTGGCGGTGCCCACGCCGACGCTGCCGGCGCCGCCCGAGTTGCGCGCATGGAACGGCGACTCGGGCTCCTCGGCCGTGTGCGAACGCAGCGTGGATCGGCCCGAGTTGCGTTTAACGCGTAGCTCCTGCAGCGTGGACGACAGCTGCTTGGAGCTGCGCGTCATCATGCCGTGCAGTGCCACCGGATGCTGTGGTATGTCTATGTTGACGGGGCCAATGGACACCAGGCCGCTGTTCTTGTCCTTGCCGCGCTTCGAAAGGCTTGAGTAGAGCGTCTGGCTCTTGCCCACGGTCACCTTGACGACGGTTCTGTGAAAGGATTGTTAACAAGCGATGCTAGTTAAAGATCTTTCCAGTACTTACTGCTGGCTGGGCGCCACGCCCTCGAGCAAGACGATCATGGCGCGTCCGACCTGGCCGGTGAGCGAGCATTCGAGGGAAACGGGGCGCGCCTTCTTGCGCCAGGTTGCCGTGCTGTTCAGCGTGGTTATTTCCGACTCCAGCTTCAGGCCCGACAGCGTCGCCAGCAGCCGCGTCTTGTGTATCTTGGCCACGCCAAATACGATCAGACGCGTTCGCTCCTGCGGCACGCCATCGACCAGCTGCATGTCGCGATGCTGCGGCAGCGGCGTCGGCGCATTGGTCAAATCGTCCTCGTCGTTGTTGCTAAAACTGGGCGCGGGCTTCTTGTGCTCGTTCAGGGAACTGCGCTGCACGACCGTCTTGGTCTCCGGCATGGTGCCGTACAGCTCCAGCAGATGGTAGATGGTCTTCCAGCAGTTGGGCGTCTCCAGCAGCGGCGGCGGCAGCAGCGTCGCAATGCCCGACTTGGTCAGCGTGTTGTTGTAGTCGCCGCTAACGCTGGTCGCGCAGCCGCCATTTAGCGAGGCCTTCGACTCCGTGGCCAGCTTCAGTATGTTCTGCTCGTGCAGCGACATTGTGGGACTGTCCCGCAGCGGCGACGAGCTCGACTCGTTCAGATTGGTGTAGCCCAGCTTGCCCTTGACCGATTTGCCCGTGGAGCGTAGCTTCTGCGCAAAGCTCTGCGGCCGATTTTTGGCATTGGGCGACGGCGTCAACTGTATAATTGGCGCCAGGCCACCGCCACGACTACGTCCAGTCGTGGGCATTGTCGGCATGGTCTCGTTGAATTTGTCATAGCGCTCGTCCGAGAAGCTCGCGCCGTGGCATACGAAACGCTCCGCAACCGAGGCGAAGGCTAGCATATCCGTGGGCTCGGAGGCTGCAGAGGAAATCGTTGAGTAAAGTTTTCAATTGGAATAATTGTTAATAAATATATACCCAAACTGCACTCGTCCTTGGTCTGGCTCTTTTTGCTCAGCTCGGGATGCTCGTGGAACTCGTTCTGTGCATCCTTCACGTTCTGATACATATTGCAGATCTGATGGAGCAGCCGGAGCAGCGGCATGTTGACCTGCTGCGAGATGAAGCGCACATTCAGGCTGAAGTTGATCACGGTGCTCGTGTGCTTCTTGAGCTGGCGACGGGACATGTAGATGACATTCTGTCGCGCCTGATCCACCATGCCGTCGGACATTTTGAGCACCTCGAGCTCAACGCCCACGCGCTCGCACAGAAAGAGCGGAGTGTCCATCATGATGGATGCACGTCCGCCATTCGATTTCTTACTGAGCTTGGCGGGCTTTGCGCTGGTGTTCGTTTTCTTGTCGCCCGCCTCGCTGACCACAATGTCCACGCGTATCGAATCAAAGGTGCCAATGAGGGAGAGATTCGTGCCGAAGTTCTCCAGCGATGAGATATCCGCATTCGAGAATTTGTTGATCATTTGCTGTGGCATTACGCCCAGGCACGTGAGCAGCGGCTCAAAGATCAGATGCGCATCCAGCAGCTTTATAGAGTCCTGCATGATGGCGCTGCGCGAATGCGTCTGGCCATTCAGCTTGGCCGGAGCGGGACGGGCATGCTCCTTTTCGGCGGCATGCTCCTTCTTTTTGCTGTTGTCCTGTTGCTTGGCCATCCAAAAGTACAAGTCCTCCTTGTGATTCTCAGCGCCCAGCCAAAACTTGTTCACAGAGTTCGTCGAACTGAGGGAACCCTCCTGCAAAGCGCCGTACTCTGCAAGGAATATATTGAATAAATATGCATGTTGTTATTTATATAATTTAAAACTTACCAAACTCTGGCACCTGTTTCTCCACCAGACCCGATATAATGGGCAGCATTTGTATGCTGGAACGAGACGAATTGCCATGTGAATAATTCGAGGCTTTGCTGTGCACTTTGCTCAGACTTTAAAGCGCAAGCAACACATATTTATACATATATATTCATATTTATGCGATGGGTAGTTGATACGATTTTGAGAGAGTTGGGTATGAAAAGAAAAACACATACACAGGCAACGGCATTAATATACGAGACATGCATGAGCACAAGCCAATCAAATGGAAAGCAGGTGAAGCACTTACCCACGGCGTGTGTGGTGCATGTTGGGCGACGTCGAGGTCGATCGCTGGGATGCAGGTCCATGGTGTGGCGCCTCATGGGCATAGGACATGCCACCATATTGTGTGTTGTCTAAATAGGAAAGGTAAACGAATTGAGTAATTGCGCACAAATCAAAAGAAATATTACAATTTTGCGCTCAAGTGGAGTTAGAGACCTGAAGTGCAGTGTGCGAAATAAGAACGTGTTCAGTTTCTCGACAGTGAACAAAAAAATAAAGAAAGAACTACTATCTTTGACTGATTGATTGATTGATTGATTATTTCAATAGTCATAAGTCTTAAGCTTTTGGTCAGCTATGCTAGGAATATATAACATTAATCCAAGCGAAACTGATTCTGTGACCGAGATGTGCGACAAAATAAAGAGCTCATTACTCAGATGCCGAGTTTGGTCATGATATGAAACAAAAAAAAGTTGTTCAAATAAGACCTTAATTGTCGTCCAATCATTCCTATGGTATCTATATAATAAAGTGGTTCGATCCGACCGCTTCCCAAACAGAAAGACGGAAGCATGGAAAGTTTTACAGCTGAGAGACTTGTTTGCATAGAAACAGACGAACAGGCATATCGACTCCTCGGTTGATACCAATCTAGAATATATATATATATGTATATATATATACTTTATAATAAATCAATTTAAACGCGCTTATTAAGCACACTGCACAACATAATTGTAGCCTTAATATTAGGACAGTATAGCCAGAAAGGATAGTTGAGTAACATTGAATATTTTTGAATACAAAATGCAAACGCAAAGCATCAAACAACATGAAGTCATGAACACTTAAAGCATTTGGAACAGAAAAATATGTATGGAAAAATAAGGGAAACAACAAAAAGGAAAAGAAAGTCAAGGATGGATACAGTTGCTGAAGGAGCAGCAGAAGTAAGGAAGAAACATTTAAAACCAGGCAAGAAATGCCAGTCGAGTTCAGCTCGCACTCAACAGGCACCTTTTGCTTAGCGCAAAAAAATTAACAACAGATACGTGCAGAAAAGTAACAAACGTATAGGAAAAAATATCGCCTATAGCTATCAATAATAAATATATATTAGTTATAACAAAAGGGAGTTAACTGCAGCAGTTGCAGTTGAGCAGCGTTAATCAAAGGAATACCAATGTGAGTTCGATGATGCTGTGTTTGCCCAAGTAATAAAGCATTCTCACTCTCTTCCGGATTCTCGCCGGCGCCAGCATAGGCGCCCATTTCAACATCACCTTCACACTCATCCGCCTCGCACTCCTCCTCGTTCTGCGGGAACGAGAATGTCACATTTATCGGACGCGCCAGCTTATTCTTGTACTGATGCTCAAACAATATCGGGTTGTACAAGGTGTTCTTCCACTGGCGACTCAGCACAATGATGCCCTGTTTAACAAATGGAGATGCAATTAAATTATATATACATATATATATTGGCATTTTTAGATACTGAGATACTGCACTCACCTGTCGCAGTGTATTCAGATGCGGCACCTCGCCATGCTGAAAGATTTGCTCGATGCGCTGCACTCCCTCGTCCAGGACCAGTTTCTGCATGATGTAGCACAGCTGACAGCTGGGATCCTCCTGCAGCGTCTTCGACAGCAGCGTATAATTGTTCGCATAACGACTCTGGGAAAGATGAAGAATATACAATTAGCGTATGCCATGTAGATTACTCCAATTACCCACCTTCTTGATCTTTGGATTGCGCTGAATCTTCTCGTTTTCCATGGCGTCCGCCATGAGACAGGCGGCGACAGCCGTTTGGCGCGTGTGCAGCACCTTCATGAGGGACACAATTTTAATGGCCAGGCGATTGCTGGGATTCATCCAGGCTGTGATGGCCGGCGAGGCCGTGCTCAGCAGATTCCAGTCCAAGCGCGTCAAGTCGATTTTGCGCGTGATGGGCACACAAGGAGGCGCCGCAAAGTTAAACCACACGGATTTGAGCTCGATCACGCAGGAGGAGGTCTTGTCGGTGCCCTTGACATTCGAGAGCGCCTTGTCGTAGCCATCCTTGGCGCCATCTTTGCCAGCGCCGCTCTGCTTCTGCGCAGCGCCTGCCTGCTGCGCATTGCCGCCGGCGCCCGCTCCACCCTTCTCCACATCCTCATCGGCCGGCTGCTTGGGCGTCGCCTTGCGTCCATGCTCAGCAGCCGCAGGGCCGCTATCGCTGACAATAACACTGTCCAGACCATGGGGGAACTTCTCCTTGGGTGTTTTTGGCGTTGGTGGCTTTTTGGTTATCAAACGCCAAGCGGCCTCAGCCTTCGAAGTGGCACCGCTGCCATCTGCGGTCGGCGCTGCGGCTTCACTGCCCGAGCCGACGACCAGCTCGTTGAGATTGAAGCCGCCGCCGCCGGAAGAAGCAACGCCATCGGCTCCGCCTGTCATCTCGGCGAGCTCCTCTTTGCTGTTCTCCGATTTCTCGAAATGTGAGCGCTTGACAATCTTGACGCCCACACCCTCCAGGCCGCACTCGAACATGATGTAGCCAATGCTCTCAATGCCCGTGCTCTCCGGCATCTTGAGGCACTCGAACAGCACCTTGCTCTTGTGCTCCGGAATGGCTGTAACGATGACGGGCGTCTCGGGTGCACACGACTGGCCCTCGGTCTTGAGGCGACGCAGCTGCGCATGCGCCCGTCCAATGTCCAGCGTTATGACCAGCTCCTCCAGCTGCTTCTCTGAGGTCTCTATGAGTATGGGCTCGCCCTGCACATTGTCGGGTCGCGTCTGCGAGGAGAGATGCGCCAGCAGCGCCCGCGTGCCCTTCATAATGCCGCCCTTCTTGTGGCTGCTGCCCGACTGAACCGTCTGCTGGATGTAGACATTATGCATGGAGGCGCGTGTGGTTTTACCCAGGTGAAATTTCGTGGAGATGCCCTCCATATAAAATGTTAGCAGCGAGACGCAGCTGAGATCCTGTCAATAGATAGAAAGCTTGTAACTGGGATTTCCTTTGGTCTATTGTGTCCTCCACTCACCTGCACATTGTCCAGCGCAGCGACGGATATGATCTCCTCCACAATGGACGACTGCAGCATGGTTATGCTAACCTTGGGCAGCACAATCAGACCCTGGGTCTTGGTCGATATGCTCTCCTCGTAGACATCGCTCAGAAATGAATCGCCGGGTCCCTGCAAGTGGCGCTCGGTTGTCGAGCGCTTGGAATTCGAGTGCACCTGCGACCAGTAGCTGAGACTCTGATCCCGCTTAAGTATATTATCGTTCTTCACTTTGGCTATGCACGAGGCGTGTATAAAGTTAACCACCGACAGCAGATGCATTGACTGAATCGTCGGCACAGCAGCCTCAACCATTCTGCAAGGGATGAAAGTATTTGTAGTATGGACACCCTTATACAAGAGAGAAGCTTAAATCTATAAGCGATAAGATAGTTGACGAAAAGCAGCAAGAGAGAAGTAAAGATGTATGTCTCTTGGAAGAGACAAACAATAAAAGGAGCTAAAAATATTTAAGCCAGACGCTTGGGGAGTAACAATGGGAGTAAAATAAGAGAAGCGAAAAGAGAAGTAAGACATGAAAATCTATAAATATTAAAAGGAAAATAAAGTGAGAAGCTTTGAGAAGCAATCAGAGAAACGAATGTAGTAGATATAGGAAAGCCAACGCAAGAAAAATGATGAGAAAGTCAAGAGAGAGAAGTGATAAGTGATTCGATGCAAGACACAGCCCACCAGCAAGAAAGAAGTAAAGAGAGAAGAAAAGGGTACAATAAAAGAAGCTTAAAATATATAAGCCGGACACTTGGGAAGTAACGATTAGAGTAAATAATAAGAGAAGTAAAAAGAGAAGGTAGACATGAAAATCTACAAATATTAAAAGAAAAATAAAGGGAGAAGCTTTCAGAAGCAGTGGAAGAAGCAAAGTTAGTAGCTTAGGAAGAACCAACACTAGAAACAATAGGAGAAAAAATTATGAGAAAGTGAGTCGAGAAGCGATAAGCTATTCGATGGAAGAAACACAGTCCTTGACAATACGAGAGGAGGAATAAAAGTTAATTAAAGAAAGTCCACATGGTTGTCGCTTTCTCTTTTTGACGATTCAGATGTGCCCAGATTTGGAAGGATATTATATTTCCTACCTATATTATAAAACCCCACCAGACTTGAAAGGAAATTATATCACCTAAGAATATTATAAAACCTCACCCTACATTGACATTTAGCTTCGTCGGATTTGTATTTAACCCAGTCAACTAGTCAAAAACAAAATCATTGTCGTTCGACCAGAATAAGATAATATATATATACTACAAATTTAAGTGCCAAAGGTTTCCGAAAATATGTTTCTACTGCGGATTGGTTTGCTCTTGGCCTTGCTGTCCCTTATGGCAGCGTATCCCTTGGTAGGTAGACAATAGTATTCCAGCTAACTTATCAGGCTAAAGGCTCGACCAAGCAGGAAGGTCCAGGGAAAACCGGACAGAATGCGCCTCTTGATCCGGCCGACTATCCCGACCTGACGAATGGACTGAGCGATGCTGAAGTGGAGTCCACACTAAACGGTCTATCGCTAGACGATCTGAATGCACTGAATAAACTGTTGGATGATGCCGGCAATGGACCATTCGATTTGGAGGGTGTGTAGCAAAGTGAATGAAGAGCACAGTCCATAATTAACTCCTTTCAAAGCAAGCAAGCCTTAGGGGACGCCATAGACAGGCAAAGAAACAGCACTACGAGGACATGGATGCTGTCGATGAGGACCTGGAGGTTGCTCTGAAATCGAACAAGCAATCGTTGGACGACAGCTGCCATGACGAGGACGATTCGGACAAGGAGAAAGACCAATGCACCGAGCGGCCAAAGTGCAAGCGACCCACCACACGACGCTGCACCTCAACCACTAGAAGATGTGCCACCACAGCGTGCAAGTCCCTGGATGGCTTCCTGGACTTACATGTGGATGGTGGCAAGTTCGACGGCGGCTCGAAGAAGAACTGCAAGGATATCGAGGAGTGTGATCCGGAGGATCAGATATGCCTGCAGCGCAACCAGCAGAGAGCCAAGGAACGGTCGAACATACAGGATTTCTCCGATCTTGCCGCGGACCAGGAGCCCAGCAGCATGGACAGTCTGGAGCGCTTAGCTGCCCAGGCGCACCGCGACGAATCCATTAAGCTGCACAAGCAACTGGACGGTTGGAATGGCAAGGACGACACCTTGCCGGATGTGTTTAACATGGACTACGCCAAGTTATCCGATGCCAATGCAGCCGGGAATATGAATGACTTTAAAGAGCTGCCCAAGCTGGTGGCCGAGGATGAGGGCCAGCCGCAGCAAAACGAAGAGGAGTCCAAGCAGGCGGAACTCCAAATGCCCTACGAGCGTCATCAGCTCGCGCGGACCGCACACGAGCAGCAGCAGGCGCAGCAGCAGCAGGAGGATAAGGAGGAGGATGAACTGGATGGCTCCGTGCTCGATGAGAATGCAGCACCAGCTGCCGCCGAGGAGCGAGGAGCCGGCGATGAGGTCGAAGCCGCCGAACCATTGGCGCTGGCTAACGATATGGCAGCCAACGATGGCGACAGGTTGGCCGCATAAATACACATACGAATGCAATCGAACTACCTCCCACACACACGAACACACACACACACACATACACGTACGCACCTGCAAACGTTCCTGTTACCTGTTAAATTTTGCAGTTTCATTGCGCAAAATGCGCGCGAACCCTTGCGCTATCTTATCCAAACCGAGAACGGCATCATCAAGAGCGAGAACGAGCCCGGCGAGCAGCAGCTGCAAACGGACAAACGACACAGCGAAATGCTCAACTATGAAGCGTATCAGCACTCTAATCCCGGCCAGACTCGGCTGCAGTCCAAGCGCTACAAGCGCAACAGCAGGAAAACCGACGACGCACCCGAGGTAAGTGGAACCCGGCACGTTTACCAGACAATTTAAAGATTCGAAGCAGAACACCAACGAAAGCTATCTGAAGAAGCTGATGGACTCGTTCCCACGTGACCAGGGTGGGCAGAGCAATCTCAATATGGCCATAAGGCAGGCGAAACGCACGCATTTTCGCGTCAAACGAAGTTAAGTTTTTCCATTTGTTCAATTGACTGAGGTGTATATTATATATATATATATTTGTATATATTTTATAAGCATATGCGAATAAACTAGTTAAATCGCTTGAAAACGATCGAAATCAGATTTACCCGGCGTTAACCGAGCTTGGTTTTTAATTCGCATTCACATCGTAGCACTTTGAACCAAAGACAATATACACAATATACAACACTAAGATTAGTAACGCCCATACAATTTGAATGTTACGCAATATTTCTAGCCTGGCTTTTCAGCTGGCTTTTCAACTGGCTTTTCATCCGGCTTTACATAAATAGATTAAAAGACCGCATGAAATGAGTGAAAAATACTCGATTCAACAGTTTTCTGCCCACTTTTCATTTATGCATATTTGTTTCTTTCTTTTACATTCGACTCACCTTTGTAAGCCCTCTGGCAGAAGAGGCGTGAGGAATATATTTAGTTGTCCTTTTAGTCTGGCGACCACCGAGGTGCAGGCCGCGCCGCCCTCCGATTGGAGACTCATGAATTCGCCGTCGTCGAAACCGTTTGTTGTCTTGTCCGCTTCCTCCTCCTTGAGCAGCACACTGGGATCCCAGGGATGCGACTTGGGACCACCCATAAAAGTGGCCGAGCTGTTGCTGCCGGTGGTGTTCTCATAGCGCGGCACCACTTTGATCTCACGCCAGCACGAGTACAAGTCGAAATGCGGCAGCATTTTGCTGCCTATATAGGTCAGCCCGCCGTCCTCGTTCTCGTGGAAGAGCGGGGTGGAGAAGACGTCCGGCCCGAGCGGAAACGAGCAAGCGTTCCAGTTGAAGCACTTGACCTGCGACAAATGATTCAAGTAGCTGGCCATCAGCAGCGGCGAATCGATGATGGGTCGATTGACCTGCTGATGCAAGTTGACCAGAGCGACGTCCTCCTGCGAGGACATGGCCGAGATGAACGAGTTCGAGGACAGCGAGGGCGTGCCCGACGACGAGCCACGCGAATCCGCCTGTGAAATGCAGAGCAAAATCAAACAGTTAGAATGGGGAATTTAGAGAATTATTTCGTTAAACGGCTACAAATAAAATCGAAAGTGGGCAGACCACGGCAAAAAGTGCAAAAGGTGGTCTGTGCTAATTAAACGAATACTTAAGACTAAACTAGAAATCATTTAGCTTAGACTAGCTCCAAGTTCCATGCAGAAGGTGAGACATGCAGGCAACATATTAAAAACCCTTGCAGAGAGTCGAACCACAATCAAAACACTTTTGGTAGCAGCAAAATGGATGATTATAAATTTTCATTTGTTTTATAGAAAATGAGGAAGAGGGCGCTTGGAAGAAGATACAAAGAAAAGATTGCAGGCTCGTAACCTGTGCAGAGGAGAATATATATTCAGATTTTTAAATAAAGGTATCGAAACATTTTTCAGAAGCTGTAATTATTTTCTTATATAAAAACCAAGTAAGAGAGCTTTTAGAAGAAGATACAGAAAAAAGATTATAAGCTCGCAACCTGGGCAAAGGGGAATATATTTAATTATAAATTAAAAAGCTGCAAAATGGATGATTATAAATTTGATTGCTGTATAGAAAATGATTAAGAGGGCTCTTGGAAGAAGTTAAAGAGAATAGAATAGAAACTCGTTACCGGCGTAGAGCATAGGAGAATATATATACTTTTTAAATAAAGGTATCGAAACATTTTTTAGGCGCTGTAAAACGGATAATTATAAATTTAAATTTTTATAGGATATTTAAGACAGGGAGCTCTTGGAAGAAGGTACAGAGAAAAGACTATAAGCTTGCAACCTGGGCACAGGAATATATATCTATATATAGTATATATATAAATTGAGGTATCCAATGTCGACGATGTCACACAGACGGACTTAGCTAGTTGGACAGCAGAAGGTTTTCTCTGCCCCTTTCATATATATCAAATACCCTTTAACCCAATCTCAATGGGTTTAGGGTCTAATAGTTATGCCCTGTTTAGGCAAAGTGTATCCTCTGCGGACACTAGATTGCACTTGTTTTGCTTTTAAAGTAAAGTTTTATTAAAATAAGAAAATTTGAATTCCCAGGGGTTCTGTCTGTCTGCAATGGCATAACTAACATCGGCAATCCGAAGATAATTGTTTTTTTTACCAAAATTATACTCGACAATGGTTTAAATATTAAGATTGTCTAATAAAGAAAATATTTTAATTTAATTGCGCTACAAGTTAGTTTAAGATAAGGATTTTTAATTTTTTTTTTTGTGTGCTTTGATTTGCTTTTGCTAGGAACTAAGAACTACTCACGTCGTGAACAAAATGTCGGTACTCGGGTCGTGATGATATATTTGTTAATTTTCTTATAGGTGTTGCAAGACCGTGAATGCGTCTCGCGTCTTCATTCTGGATGTGTTTTATTTTATTCGGTTTTTTATTTTTATTTTAATGGTTAGTTTTATATAGATTTTAGTTTTGGATGAATCGAAAGTTTGAGTTTGTGGAGAGGAATAGAATTTAGGTGTGGATTTTTGTTTATATAAAGCATTGATAACAGTTATAGAGAGAGTTGAGAGCAAGATAACTTAAATATACTTAGAGAAACATGCAAAGTTCTGCGCAAGTTCTAGCCAATAATTTTAGAACTGCGCTGCAATTTGAATTTTTGTGATGAAAGTCAAACATTAACTAGGCCCCAAAAGCAGTAAAGCCTCAATGTGTAGAGTATATAATATATATATAGAATATATAATTGAATACGTAAAGACCTAACATAGAGATAGAGAAGTATTTTGAGCATTTTGCTCAATTGTTTTTACCAGTTCTGTGGTGCTCTGCGGCCGCTTGGGCAGCGTTTTGTTGCTCTCCGGCGCATGGATCTCCAGATCGCTGCGGTAGGTCGGCAACGTGTGGCTGCCATTCTCCCCAATGCTGCATAGGATTGGGAATTGGGTTTAGCTATCGGCTGTGGGATACAAATTCGGTTGAGACTTACCTGAAGTCCGAGGAGAAACGTTTGCGGCCCGACAATATGATGGAGCCATTGGCGCTGCGCTGCTTCATGGAGCCGCGCTGTGAGAGTACATTGGATATGTCTTCCTCGGCGGAGAAGAACATCTCGGAGGGATTCTCCGAGGTAAGCGATATGGTGCGCTGCACCTCGCGCGGCATCTGATCGCCAGCGTGCAGTACAATGTCCGCTATCTCGAACTCGAGAGGATGAGAATGCGGCGCCGAGTGCGACATCTCGTCGGGTATCTGTGTGGAGAGCAGAATATGATGAAGGTTTATTTTCTACTTGCAAAATTATTTGCACTTACCTCATGCTCATCATCGAGCGCCGCCTCGCCGGTCAGCCTGGAGTCCGAGATGCTTGTCTTGGGCGGCGACACGCGCAGCCTGTGCGAATCCGAGCCGCGTCGCTGGCTGCTGGCGGCGCTGCTGCTCTCGATGGAATCTTGCTGCAGCTGCAGCTTCTTGGAGGGACTGTCCAGGAGACGCGCGTACGGCACCTCCACGGAGGTCTGGCGCGTGCACGTGAAGCGCTTGCTGCGCCGCTCCAGCGTATTGGGCGAGGCGATGCTCTCGCGGGACCTGTTGCGGCTGCTGGCCAGCTCCGGCTTGTCCACGGCGCCGCCGCCAATTTTGAACAGCTCCGACTTCTTCAGACTGCCGTTGCGCAGCTCCACAGCGGGCCTATAAAGCTTGCCCTTGCCATTGAAATCATCCGCATCGTAGAGCGAGACGCAGTGCAGGCTATAGGGAGGCGTGTGGAAGACCAGCTGGCCCTGATGCAAAATGCTCTCGCCAAAGCCAAAGTCCTTGTTGTTGTTAATTATGCTATAAAGGGATTAGGGTTTAGAGTGAGCCAAAGAATATAATTATTATTTATCCTACTCACAAGTAGCGCGCAATATTGTAGTTGTCGTGCACATCCTGCGCCGTGGGCTTAAAGAACTTTTGGCCATTGCGATTGGTGCCAAAGAAGGCGCAGCCACCGATGCAGCCGCAGCGCGAGGTCTCCGAACCCGAGCTGAGCGCGTTGCCATTGTTGGACCATAGGAACCACAAACGCTTGAACTTGGCGTCATGTTCGCGCAGAAAGCTGGGCAAGAGAAAAAAAATAAATTAAAAGGAATATAGAATATAGATTGAATACCCTTGCAGAGAGGAAGCATATATTGAGGGACTTGTTAAGATAGAAACAGATAGAAACGGACGGATGGAGTCTCCTTCTTGCAGAGATGAAGTGGATGTGGCATATAATAGGGGACTTTTTAACATAGAAACAGACGGACAAGTCAATGTAATCAATAAAGGATCGACCGAAGGATAGATGGAGTCTCCTTCTTGTACATTTCATCACCCTCTGCTCGGGTATTAACAGCTGCTAATTCAAAACTTACTTGTGCTGGACAAGATGCAGCTCGTGGTCGGGTATGGGCAGCGCGGATGCGCCCTCCAGCAGTATGGGTCCCAGCGAGGTGCAGCCCACCTCCACCCAGTTCTCGCAGAGCTCTGCCATTTCCGGCGTGCGCTTGGCGGCATTCGCATCCGCCATGTTGTCGCGCAGCTTGGACTGCCGTGCGGCTTCCTCACGTGAGTCGCGACGCTGCGAGAAGGAGTTGGAGCTGCGCTTGCCACCGGGCTTATGTGCGGCGGCAGCATGGTGTCCAGTGCTGGGCACATCCTGTGACTTGAGCGAATCCTGGTCGGCGCGTCGCAGCTTACCGGAGCGATTGCTGCCCGTGGTGTTCGTATTGTAGCTGCTGTTGGGCGCATTGCCCGCGTGCAGCATGAACAGGCGCAGCAGGATGGAGGGCAACAGGCCCGAGATGCCCGACTTGACGCGCTGCCCGTGCAGATTACAATTGGCCAGTCGTATGGGCGAGATCCAGGCATGCAGCGCCGTGCCGCTCTCGATGAGATAGACATCGACGGCGTCCACCGAGACGCGCGTCATCTTGTACTTGATGTCCTCGGCGGAGGGGCACTTGTATTTGTTCTCCTCCTTGGTGTGCGGGCACAGGTTGCTGGGCACACCGTGATGGCAGTTGCGCACCGTCTTCGGCGACTTCAGGCAGTTCTCCGGATCGATGGCGAGCAAAACGAGTGTCTCCAATCCGGTGACCACATTCACCAGCTGCGGCAGCGTCAACTTGCCCGTCAGCTTGCCCAGCTGCACCTCGACCAGCCAGGAATACTCCAACGTATCCTCGTCCAAGGCGCAGCCCTCGTTGCTGAACATGGCATGGCCGCGGACCTGCACAGCCGACAGCAGCAGATGGCCCTGCTGGATGTGCTGCTCGCGCTGCTGGCGCTGCAGCGTGTCCGCGGTGAGCAGATACGAGGGACTGACGAGCACCTGCAGCGTCGTCTCGTGGTAGCGCTTGTTCATCTCGAAGCCGAAGCGCTCGATCAGCACCACCGGGCAAGGCGGATCCTCTGGATTGCAGTTCTTCATCACGTGCGCCTGTATGTCATGAACGATGACCGAGACCATGACCTCCAGCGGGCGATAGAGGCGCGGATCGAAGGGTTTGCGCTTCTCCTCGGGCGCCGTTGTCTCTGATATGGACTTGTTCGCCAGCTCCTTCTCTTTGGCCAGCAGCTGATCCTTGGGATTGGGCGCGACGCCCGTCTCTTTCAGGCTCACGTTCGACTGCTCCATATCGGTAAAGTTCTGATCCTCGCCGAATATGTTCTCCTTGAGACTCATGAAATTGCGCAGCACATTGCCATAGGCCATCAGCACGGAGCTGCCGATCTCCAGCTCCACGGTGACATGATCCGCGGTCAGCGTGCCCGGATCGAAACGGTTTTGCTGCTGCTCCGACTGCTGCGCCTGCTGCCAGCTGACGGGCGATTTGCGCACCTTGGGTATGCGCATGGGACTGAGCAGAATCTCCTCCTTCTCGGGCGTGGTGATGTCCGCCTGCGGGTCGGGTCCCAGCGGCGGCACCGGATGATAGACATACTGTATGGACAGCGCCAGAATGGGCACGGCCCAGCAATCAATCCAGCCGGCGCTGCGCTGGCAAATCTTGCGCCACTTCTTCGTATAGAGCTCCGGCCGGCGGATCAGCTTGCCCTCGCGGGTCAACAGTCTTGCGTTCTCGTCTATGGCTAGGACAATGGGTCGCACCGAGGAGACCTCCGGCACGTACAGGCTCAGGTCGAGACCCTCGCCGTGCATCCAGAACTTGAGCGTCACAGTCTTCGGCAGAAAATCATCAAAGGGCAGCGCGAAGCTCATCTCGAAGACGTCGCCGCAGAAGCCCAGATGATTGTTCTCCTGGTTGGCGCTGCTGCAGTCGATCCAATTGTACTCGTTGCACAGCATCAGGATCTCGAACTCGTTGAGGCGTATGTTGAAGTTGCAGGTGTAGGGCACAAAGCTGAGTATGTCGGGTCGCGCCTTGTTGGCCCAGTCCTCGATCAGATCCTGGAAGAAGCACTTGTGCTTGTACACAATAAATGCGCTCGTCTTGCAGCCGGCCAGCGAGATGTTCCAGTCCTGCGGCGCGTTCCACTTAGTCGGATAGTGTATGCGCACCTTGTACTCCAGCGACTCGAACTCGGCCAGGCTGCGATACTGCAGCGAGGTGGTGGCCTCCACGTGGAACAGCTGGCCCTGGATCTTGGACGTGTAGCCGTCGGTCAGCGTTACCCAGGGTATGGTCACCTCCACATAGGAGGCGGGGCCGACGGTTATGTGCATGGCATTCGTCTCCTTTTCCTTGGAGAACAGAATATCAATTGTCGCCTCATTGAGCACACACAGCGTCACATCGAACGACTGATAGCTGCGCAGCTCGCCCGGCTGTGGTGTGGGCGTGACCTCGGCCTCTTTCCAATCGGATGGATAGAAGTATCTGTACAGATGATCGCGCTGTCTGTCCGCCCAGGGACCGTAGCTGAAGTCGGTGCCCTTCAGGCAATGCGCATTGATGCCCCAAACGGGTGGCGAAGGCTCCACGACGTCGCCGTTGGCCAGCACAATCTGTACGGGCTCTTCCGGCACCAAGCCCGGCTCGTCCATGTAGAAATACAGGTCCATTTGGTTGGACATCATGACCACAAAACCCTCGCCCATATAGCGTGGCGGTTCATCAATCAAGCCCGTATACTTGGGACTGGGACAGAAGAGCACCTTGGCATTCTCCACCTTTGCCTTGACAAAGTGCATGAAATGATCGAGTCGGCAGACCGCGGGCTTTGTGCTGTACGTGCAATGTGCCTCCTCCATGGAAATGGAGAGCGTGGTCGGTGTGAGGCGATTGCCAAAGACAAAGCGGCCGGAGCTGATGTCTATCTTAATGACGGGTATCAAATCCCGCCAGGTGGTCGCTTGCATGGCCTCCGAGTTCTTGACGCTGTTCACGCGCCTATTTTGGCGCGCATTCTCCAGGTTCATGTTGTGCTCCTTCAGCTTGTTGCGCTCCTCGTTGCTCACCACGTCCGTGGGTATCAGCAGTGACGGCTCCAGGCCAAAGGTCTTCTCCAGCTTGTCGTACAGATCCGAGCGATTGTAGATGTGCAGCTCGTAGCCATTTAGCTGCACCGACAGCCGCGTGTCCGAGTGCGAGAGATCTGAGGGGAGAAAAAGGAATTTAATTGGACTCATCTAGCGATTGGCTAAAACTTACCCTCGGAAACATCCTTGGGCACGTAGGAGCGCCACCAGCGAAAGATGAAATAGCCATCCTGCACGCGCATTGTGTAGTCGTAGGTTATGTACACGAAATCCCGAAACATTATCTTCCCAGCCAGAGGATTCAGCGCCACCGAGCCAATCTTGAAGTAGGCGCCCTTGATGAACCAGCGATTCGCTATCTTTGTGATCAGCATGCCGATTACGCGCGAGTTGTAAAAGTTGTTGTATGTCACCCACGTGATGGTCGTCAGCAGCGAGCAGAGCAGCCAAATCTGTAGGCGGATCAAAGGTGCATCGTAATTAGGCATCACATCATAGGGACCAAAGATCATGTTGTTGTGACCCCAGCCATGAAATGGCTGGATTTGAAAGTGCCCGACTAGGAGATATTGACTATCGATTTACTATCGAATATTAATCGATACAGCAAGCAATCTGTTGCAAGCATCAAGGGTGGATCGCAATTAGGCATCACATCTTGGGTTCAAAGATCATGTTGTTGTGACCCCAGCCATGAAATGAAGGATTTGAAAGTGCCCGACTAGGAGATATTGACTAACGATTTACTATCGAATATTTATCGATACTGCAAGCAATCTGTAGCAAGCATCAAAGGTGGTAATTAGGTATCGTATCATAAGATTCAAAGCTCATGTTGTTGTTACCCCAGCCATGAAATGAAGGATTTGAAAGTGCCCGACTACAAGATATTGACTATCGATTCACTATCGAATATTTATCGATACTGCAAGCAATCTGTAGCAAGCATCAAAGGTGGTAATTAGGGATCGTATCATAGGGTTCAAAGCTCATGTTGTTGTGACCCCAGCCATGAAATGAAGGATTTGAAAATGCCCGACTAGGAGATACCCTGCACTCAGCTCCAAACTGTCGTATACCATATTCTATCTCTCTTCTATACACGCCGTAGCCTCGCACTAATGGCAAATGCTATCTCTATTAACTCGGTTGTTTACTATCCGATTTTTATGAAATTTGCAGGGCATTTAAAAGGCATCCAAATGTTTTGCTAATCCCAAGTCTAATTTAAAAGGCATCCAAATGTTTTGCTAATCCCGAGTCTCAAGTTTTTACCTCTTACAGTCTCTGAGATCGATGCAGAGCAAGGGTATTAAATCTTCGGCGTTCTAAAGACAGGCCCTTTTCTAGTTAGCTCTTACAGTCTCTGATATCGATGCATATATACACATATTTATATAAAGGTAAGGTAAACGTCTTTGTTACGCTTGTAACTCATACTTTTGACAGGCTCATAAATTCTTGGGTTAGTCACAAGCTCTTGAATACTCTAGCTGATAACGAAACACACAAAGTGTGAAGCAGATATTGCATTAGGTAAACAAATTGAAATCCATATTGGATTTACTTTAAAGCGGCTAAACAAATCGATAGATCGGATTAATGCCCAGATATATTTCTATAGTATACCCAGCTTTGCCCTAGGCAAAAGTTTTCCCTCACACTTAAGGCATTTATTTACCCCCATTTTATTGGGAAAGTTGAAACCTGGACCTAGTCATAATGAAGCTGGAAAAGTCTGTAAATCAGTTCGATATTTGCACGGTAGTTGTTCGATTTTTCCAAATAAATACATTGCCGGGCTTCCGATTTATTAAACACTTGGTACACGGTTTTGTTTTTTTTGGACAAACTCGAACTGAACTTGAATGTGGACAGAGAACCAAGACAGAGGCACGCCAAAGCATTGGACTAAAATATAAATAGTAGAATCTGGATCAATCGAAGTAGTTGACCGGCACGTCGCTGAATATGGCGCCGGCAAAGGTGCATTTTTTGGCCTCCTTGATGACGGTGCAGCCGTGCACATCCTTGAATATCATGTTGTGGCCCAGGCAGCGGGCCTCCTGGCTGAGCAGGCTGCGTCGGGCGGCGGGTCGGAAGTAGGCACGACCCGTAAACGGATTGACAAAGTCCGACCAGTAGCCATCCTGCATGAACTCTACGGAATACTGCGAGGCAATCAGCACGAAGGCCTTGATGGCGCTGTTCACGTCGCTGTCGAAGTACAAATTGAATATGCTAAAGTTGACGGGATCCTTCAGCTTGGAGCAGGGTATTGTAAAGAGGCGCTTCATGTGGGGCAGCAGCAGCTTGGGGCAGCGCACAACCTGGGCTTTGATCGGCTGGATGCCGTTCCAGGCAATCGAATCGTGGTATTTGCTCAGATCAAACTGATCGGCGGTCGTGAACAGATCCTGATAGGCCGGACCCACGCTCTGCGGCATATAAAACAGATCCGAGCAGCGATTGCCCAATATGGGAAAGATCGGATGTATTCCCAGATTATCCTCCGGCTCGACATCCTCCTGCTCATCCACGTCGACCAGTATGAAGTTGGGCAGGCTGCTGCTTGTATAGCGACGTCCGGACTTTACGCATGATTTATTCTGCAGAAACTTACGGTCCTTTAAACGGCGCATTAAAACTCTCAATGTTTGCATTATGCGTGTGTGTGTTTGTATGTGTGCGTCAGTGCGTATGTATGTATATCGTGTTTGTGTGTGTGAGTGTGTGCGAGAGGGAATTGGGTGTATCGGGTAAGAAAGGTTAACCAAAATTTTAAACTACAGATACTAAAAACAATTGAAATAACGTGGGGTCGAAATATGTATTTTGAATAGATTTATTCGATCTGTTTTTTTGTTGGCGAGCGCGACGTCCAAAGACCGCGAAAACAGATTTAAAATGAAATCTGTCCCTTTTTTAAAAGAATTTTGAACGATTGTTCATATAAGTAAAAACAAAAGGCTGTCCGACTAAAATGTTCGTATTGTATGAATGAGGCACAACTTCCCCCCTTTACTGTCAAGGCGAAATATCAAATGCTTAATTCCTATGCTCAAAAATTATTATTTCAAAAAAATGAAAGGAAATGAATATCGGATTTAGATATTGTAAAAATATGTTACAAATTTCATTTCAACATTATCAATAGTTATCAAATATCCACTTGACTTAATCGATTAGTTATCGAATTGTAGCTGAATATACTTAACTTAACTGCATTTCTAATCGATATACTATCGAATATTTACCGAATTAAAGGTTATGAATATCGGGCCGTGATAGGGTACAAATATGCTACAAGTTCGTTATGAAGAAGATTATAAATAGTTATCGAATATCCACCTGGCTTAATCGAATAGTTTTCGATTAGTGATCGTATTGCAGCTGATTTGGGTGTACATCCACAATCTAATTGGCTTGACTATCTAATAAATTTCGAATAGCTCGAAGCGTTTCTCTGTACTAAATGACAATCGAATGGGTATGGAAATTTTGTTATCCAATATTTATTGATGCGTTTAGATTGTTGTCGACTTTTGACTATCGATTTGCTATCGAATAATTATCAATACGTTTAGACAGTTGTCGACAATTGATTTAAAATCGAATATTTATCTATACGTTTAGATCGCTTTACTATTGCATATTTATCGTTACGTTAAAACAGTTGTCGACTATTCGATATCGATTTACTGTCGAATATTAATTGATACGCTCAGACAGTTGTCGATGTAATATTGAATATTTATATTAAGTGCGCGCCGGCATCATAGCTGGCTTTATTAATAAATAACTTATTTATAGATCAGATTTTTATTAAGCTACCCGTTTTACTCCTATCCAAGAAATTCCCTCTAAATAACGGGCTTCTAGGATTTAATTGATTATTGAAAGCCCGCTGGAAAGTAATCGTGTGTATCGATAAATATCGATTGCACAAAAAATAGTGCTCTAAATTTGTTTCCGTGTGTGTCAATGACCAAAGCATTATAATTGATTGATAAGAGAATGAAATGGAGGCGAGAAGCGAGCGGCAGATTACGCACTCGACTGCGCTGCGCTGATAAAGCGTCGTCCTCGACTGATTCACGCCCAACGCATGCCATTTTAATCAAAATGCTTTTATGTGTATATGCATGTATGTATATATGTATGTATATATGTATGTATATATGTGTGTAAGCGTTGCCAATTCAACTATTTTCCAGCTAAATTAGGCTATTTACAGAGTGACTAACACTTCCTGCTGACCCGGCAACAGTTGAACTTTTAATCTTATTTTCAACTCACGTCCCTATTTATTGCCAATTTGTATTCAGAAAGCTAATTCAATTATTTTTTGACTATATTTAACATCCAGCTTCTTTTTTTGGAGCGGCAGTTGGCAACACTGACTTAAATCTACATATGCATATATATATATATATATATATATATATATATATATATATATATGTGTGTGTGTGTGTGTGTATGTGAGTGTGTTCTTACCATGGGTGCATCGATTTTCATGTTCTCCAGCGGTACATTGTGTGTGCGGTTCCAGGTTCCCACTTCTGGAAAGCCCAGCGGGAATCCATTGTCGCTTGTCTCCTCCACGTCCATTTTCAGGTATTTTTTTCTGGTCGTTTATGAAATTAGCGGTTATTGCTGCGTAGATGCATTTCAATTGCTTTGCATTTTAGGAAAATTAATTTGTATGTATAAACATTTCATGTTTATTTGATTTTCTTTCTTAAAATTAATTATTACACACACACACACACACACGCGCGCACAAAGTTCGATTTTTCCCACTTTGTATTGGAGGTCGTCGTTGTCTCAACTTTTCGTTTACTGTTTTCGTCCGTTTTCAGCGAAGCGACGCGTTTGCCGTTATACTCATTGAATGCGCGCAACGTTGAAAACGCGTTTTAATATATTTTTCACAATTGATTGCAACTATTAAGCGCGGAAATAAAATATAAAAAAAATATAACACGAAACGAAAACACTCCCATCTTGTGCTGCTTCTTGCCACTGAACAGCTGTTCGCCGTCGATAGGACCAATCAACTTGTTTGATTTCGATAGTAACCGATATCGGTAACTGTAAACCCTTGCACACAAATAAGTTACAGCTGCTCACGCAAATGTATGGGAATTATGGCTAATTTTATATTTATTTCTTATTATATTAAACAAAATATTGAGGTTTACGCATTGTTATGCCATGATCGGCCAGAGCTGGCACCAAATCCTCCATAGCCAAAGTGTACTTGCGATCTTTTGGGTTCTTTTTGTCCTGCGGAAAATAATTGTAAATTTACATTTAGTTGTAAAATAATTTAATTCAAAGGCAATACCTTGCTGGAGCTGTGTCCACTGGAGTGTTGAATGTTCGTTGTGCGCGTTTTACAATGTTGCAGAGCATCATTCGCAATGTCCGAGATGAATTTTTGCGCTGATACAGAAATTATGCGCACAATCCGCGGGTCGACGGAGCCAAAGCCAGACTAGATATGATATTAACATTATTATTACCAATCAATTTGGTCATTTCCTTTACTTACGCTATTCAAAATACGCAATGTGAGCGCATCGGGCACCGTTGGTGTATAATCTTCGAGTTGTCCCAATAATTCTTCCATTTCTGCTTCTTCATTTGACACGGGCACCGCTTCTACCTCTAAACTTTCATCGTCTGTTTCCAGGTCCGGCAAGTGCGCATCATCTGCTTCTGTTTCAGTTTCTGCTGCAGAAACTTCACTTTCCACGGGTGTTATATCCATATCCTCGCCATCAGAAGCCATTCTTAAGTTATATATTTATTTACTTCACAGTTTATATGCTGACAGAAAATTAGTAATGAGAGTTGGCCAACTATCGCTTAGCCAGTGCTGCGGAACGCTATGCGATATATTGGAAAACAATGATACACGATGAATACAAAGCGCCATATATCGATATGTATAAAATGTGACCAGCTGTTCAAGCCGCTGAGCTTATCGGTCGACCACCACAATTTAGCTGAATAGGTATTAAAAAAATATGTCAGAAGTCTTAAGAAAAAAAAATTGAAAATTTTCGAAGTTAAGAAGCTTAAAGTACAAACAATATGGTTATTCCAAAGGAAGTGCTCAGCGACTATAAGGAGATGTTCGAGAAATCCAGCCAGCTGGTCGAGCAACACAGTCGCACCGATCCGCCCACGGATCCCTATCGCTCCCACTACAAAGCGCGCGACGTGCTCCTCAATTTAAAAAAACAACTCGACGATCAGCTGATCTCCATTCAAGCCGCCGAGGAAGACGGCGGCGAGGATGAGCTGCTGTACAAGGCAACGCTGGCGTTCACCTGTCGCGACCTGGGCCGCATCTATATCTACACCGAGGAGCCGGCCGAGGGCGAGAAGCTGCTCAACCGCTGCCTGGAGCTAGTGGAGCCGCTCAAGCTACGGCCAGAGGGCATTATACCATATGTGGGCGCGGTCAATGAGCTGAGCATTGTGCTGGCCTCCCGGCAGGAGTACAAGCGCTCCGTGGAGCTCCTGCTCCAAGCCGACCAGTGCTACGACGATTTCCAGCTGAGCGGCCAGACAGCGCTCACCATGGCCGATCTCTATAGCCCGCCCGATGAGCTGGAGGAGGAGTCCAGGGGCGAGAAGGAGCTGGAGAATCTCTATACGCTCTGCTGCTTCTATCTGGCACAGATGTACGGCCACCTGGGCGAGCCGGAAAAGTCGGCCCAGTGCTGCCATCGCACACTGCATCGCCAGTTGCAGCACAAATCCTACGATGCCGTTGACTTTGCATTGAACACGGCCACGCTATCGCAGTACTACATTGGCCAGGAGCGCTTCCGAGAGGCGCGCCATCATCTGGCCGCCGCCACGATCATCATGGCCGAGTACGAGGAGCACATGCTGCAGTCGGAGCTGAGCGAGCAGCAGCGCTCGGACATTGTGGAGACGTTCAAGCATCGCTATGCGGACGTGGCGCGCTGCTGGGCCAAGTACGGATTGCTCCTGCTGCAGACGTCCAAGGAGCGGCTGCTGCGCGACGACGAGGATGAGGCGCAGCGCCTGATCCGGGCCGTCGAGCAGTTGTCCCTGATGGACGAGGACTATCGCTTCGTCGACCTAGATCTGTCGGCCTGCGAGAGCCGCGTCACCTGCGACTATTGCCTGACCTTTGACGATGCCAAGCTCGTCTTTCACTTTGTCAACGAGTGGCTGGACGTGGCCAAGGAGTACTACAAGGCGGAGACCGAGGCCACGGAATATGCCAAGATTATACAGGACTATGCCGAGGCATACGAGCATATCGCCTTCTTCGAGGAGCTGCCGGAGAATCAGGCCAAGATGCACAAGCGCCGCGCCAAATACTTAGAGGATCTGCTCGAGCTGCTCGATCCCAGTCACTATCTGAAGATCTGCCGCGAGTGCTGGTACGTGGCGGGCACAGCGCATGCCGCCGTACTCGACGTCCGTCTCGACAGCATGAAGTTAAAGCAGTCGCCCACACCGGACGAGATCAAGCGAGTCAACCAGAGCTGTCTCAAGGCCATCAAGCACTTCGAGAACTATGTCAAATCTTATCTCGCACCCGATTCGAGCAGCAGCAGCAGCGGAAGCAGCGTCAGCCAGCAATGGCGCCCGAATATGGACATCGAGGAGCTGCGAACGATGCTCTACGCCCACTTCCATATCGGAAGGCTATACTACAAGCTGATTAGCGCACATCCACAGCACCAGCTGGAGCAGCTGAACCAGTGTCTCGTCTACTACAAGAGATTCAGCGAGGGCTGCGCCCTGCACAAGGAGCCCGCCGAGCAGCTGCACGGCGAGATTGGAGTTGTGCGCGAGATGCTCGATCTGTTGCCGCTCAAAATTAACACGGTCAAGAGACGTCTAGAGTAAATATATCTATCCCGCCTTTGCCGTTGCCGTTGCCGTTGCCGCCAAGCCTAATCCCCATATTCCAGTATATATGCATTCTCAAGCTTTATATGTTTATTAGTCAGCATAAAAATAAAATTAGTCCATGTTTAGGTCTAGCCTAGAACGGAAGTCCCGTGTTCGGTGTCGGCTTTTTACTGGCAATGCGAACCGCCAGCGGCGATTGACAGTTGGGCGGCTTGTATTGGCGCCGCTTGAGCAGTTCCCGCTGGATGCTGTTGCCCAGCTGGCGGATTGGCAGCGCTGTGATCCCGTCCAGCAGATTCTCCTGCGCATGCTTTAGTGTGCTGGTTATCAGCTCCTCGACATTGATGGCACGCGGATCGGACATGGGCTCGCGCTCCAGCACATCGACAATGATGCGCAGCGTCTCCTCCGCCTGGAACTCCTCGAGGGGCAGCACCTCGATCAGCTCCTTGAACATGTGCAGCACAAGGAACTGGGTGCGATTGACCACCTCGCAGACGCCGCGGGCGCACAGCGAATCCTTGGCATGCTCGAATATGCCCGAGATAAGCTCCTCGGTGTTCACGTCGGAGCGCTCGTAATCGAAGACGGCGACCACCTCGTTGAAGAGCTTACGCAAATCCTCGGCACGAATGTGTATGAAATACTTCTTGGGCACAATGCTCTCCAGATGCTCCGTGATGCACTCGGCAATGCGATCCGTGTATCTGCCCTGAAAGCTGTACGCCGCCTGGCACAGATACAGCGACGATCTCTGCGCAAACTTGCGCACATTCTCGGCTGTTGTGTGCCGGCCGAGAAACTGATTGAAGCTCTTCGTGACAATCATGTGCACGCGATCCATGATGAAGTCATCCGGCATGGGCGGCAGCATATATGCGTCCACATTGAGTATGGCCGGGCACACCTCCGTCTCGCTGCCAAGCGGAGGCGGCAGCAGCTCGCTGCGGACGACCTCCGGCGACGGCGGGATTAGCTCGTTTATCTGCAGCGGCTTCGCCTTGAGGCGCAGCGTACAGATCTCCCGCTCCAGGCACTATTGGACATTGGCTTAGTTTCGGCTGTGGACAAAAAGTGTTTGTGGCTACGCACCTCGATCTGCTGCAGCAGCTGGTTGTCGATGCCCATCAGCTTCTCGATGTCGTAGCTCAGGTTGAGCACCTGGGGACTGGCCCATTTGTTGTAGTTGCGCTCCTGGTTGTCCAGCAGCACGTCCAGCACGTTCTTCTGGTCGAGCAGTACCGTCTGTATGTTCACCTTCTCCGTGTTGTTTTGTGTCTCCTGGACCATTTCCTCCTCGCAGCGCGATAGCTCAATCTGGAGGTGGAGAAAATCGATGAGAACGCGTAGTTCCCGTTAATCTTGACAAGCACTTTGACATGAGCTGTGTGTCAACAAATGACTCAGTCTGAAGGATAGGATTAAAAGCTCATGTCAAGGGATTGTTAGTTTTGACAAGCACATTAACAGGGGGTAAGTCAAATTTATCTTATCAATTATTGTTGAATCCGAGTAGTGGGTAGTCCCCGTTAATCTTGACAAGCACTTTGACACGAACTCAACTGTGTGTCAGCAAATAACTCAGTCTAAAGACCAGTTTGAGACCATATTTAAAGCTCGTGTCAAGTGATTGTTAGTTTTGACAAGCACTTTGACAGGGGGTAAGTGAAATTAAATTTTTTTATCAAATATTAGTTGAATCCGAGTAGAAAATTAGAAAACATGATTTGCACTCTAGTGTTAAAGTTAACAAACGAATCTTAACTAACAGTTAAATCTTAAGAAATACCATTTTCTTATTTGCTGACAAGCACTTTGGCCTATAGTTAACCCGCACTAGCTTTTTAACTGATAGTTAAATTAGAAGTTCACTTTGGAATATGGTAATTGAGAATTAGCTCGTATCTCTTTTGTTAATTTTGACAAGCACTTTGACACGAACTTAATAAAATTTCATCTAATAATTCAAACTGAGGGCGATATGTTTAAGCTTGTAATATTAGTGAATAAGAAATGTTGACTAGCAGTTTAACATGAGGAAGTCTAGATTTTAACTGCTTGTCAAATATACGCTGAATCCTTATGGAGATTCGAGATTATATTCTCCAAGTTTGTTGAAAATTAAAAAAATCCTGAACTTTAGCTTGCATCCTCATGTAAAAGTTAACATGTACTTTAACATGAAGCGAAGTTTAACTTATCTAACTGCTTGCTAACTAACAGTTAACTATTTGGGAGTAACATTCAACTTGAACCTGCTATTAAACTGCTTCGTCTTGAGAAGCACTTTGACATGTAGGCTAAATTTAACAGCTTGTTAGTAAAGATAAAATGAACTTGAATACAGACTATTTAACTGCTTGTTAAACAAGAAAGCTTCATCATGAGGAGCACTTTGACATGTAGGCTAAATTTAACTGCTTGTTAGTGAAGATATAATGAACTTGAATACAGACTGAACCAGCATCTTTTCCGATTCAAACCCACCTGTCGCTCTCTGAACTCCTTTTCGAGTGCGCGCAGCTCCTCCTCCGCCGTTGTCTCCAGCTCAAATATGTAGCGCCGCAGCACCTCCTCCTCCAGCTCGTCCAGATTGATGATCAAGCCGAAACGCTTCATCATGGCCTGCTTGATCTCCTCCTCGAGCCGCGTTATCTCGAAGCGCATGAACTTGATGTCCCGATTCATGCGGCGCAAATGAATGAAATTGATGCGATGCCAGCGCCGCGTCGCCAACGTCTCCTCGTGCAGCTTCTCCGCCCGCCGGCGCAGATCGACCAGGATATCCGCATCGAAGAGTATGGCATTGGACACATCGCGAAAGTCCTCGCCCTCATAGAAATGCTGCAGCTGATCCATGCGCAAGATCGTGCTTATCTGCACCTTGTTGATCTCGTGCTGTCTATTGCGCTGCAGATCGGAGTGAGAAAATATATATG